CCGTCCCGCCGTGGTGCTTCGCTTGCTGCGGGCGGGCGCAGACATGACGCTGTGCAATAGCAGCGGCAAGACCGCGCTGCAGTGGGCCAAGGAGAAGGGCCAAGCCGAGTGCGTGCGCGCCCTCGAGGAGCATGCGGCGGCCGAGAAGGCGGCCGAGAAGGCGGCGAAGGAGGCGGCGTGGGCTGCGGGGGCGGCGGAGAGGGCGGCGGAGAGGGCGGCGGCGGAGAAGGAGGCGGCGCGGCACGCCGAGGAGCTGCTGGCGGAGGTCGAGGCGGAGAAGCGCGCCAAGGGCAAGAAGGGCAAGAAGAAGAAGAAGGGCGGCGGGAGCGGCGGGGCTGGGCCGTCGCAGGAGGCCGATTCGCCGGCAGAGGCAGCGGCAGCCAAGCCCGCGCCGTTGGACAGGGAGGGGCTGCTCAAGCTTCTCGCGGAGCTCCACGAGGACAGGATCCGGTTCGGCATCACGCCGGAGACGTCGGTCGAGGGGTTGGCGGAGGCGCTGGGAGAGGCGGCGGGCGAGGCGAGCGAGGAGGAGGGCGACGAGGAGACGGCGGAGGCGGCCGAGGAGGAGGGCGAGGAGGAGGGCGAGGAGGCGGCAGCGGAGGCGGCAGCGGAGTCGCGCCGGCAGGCTGAGGCGGAGGCTGCGGCTGTGGCGGCGGCAGAGGAGGAGGAGGCTGCCGCAGCGGAGGAGGAGGCGGAGGAGGCGGCAGTAGCGGCGGCCGAGGCGGCAGCGGCGGCGGCAGAGGCGGCGCTCGCCGCAGCCAAGGCGAGGCGCGCGTCAGGTGCCGCTGCGAGGGACAGGGCGCGGGAGGCGGCCTAGCCCGCGCGCAAGGACAGCTGGCGCAGTGGCAGCCATGGGAAAGGGTCTCTCGTACTCTGGGGTGAGAACTCTTGTGAACGATCGTGGCTGTGGGCTGGGCCCCGCACCGCGCGGACGCGCGTGCAGTCCCTCGAGGTCCCGCCGGGATCTGGTCACTCAGGCGTACGAAGGGTGGACGGTGGCGCGAGAAAGTGGCATAGCCAATGCCACAGACTGCGAGCATCTCTCTGACAGTGTGGGTGTGTGGGGAGCTGGGGGGGGGGGGGGGGGGGCATTCTCCCCTCCTCTGGGCAAAAACCTGCGTTGCGTCCGGGTGCCCCCCAAGAACCCCCCCCCTCCACTGGCCCTGCCAATGCCAAATGGGGAATGGGGGCATTTCCTAGCCTACTTTTCAGCGTTTCCCCCCCGGGCTCCCAAAACCCGGGGGGAGCAAGCGACCAGGGGGTAGCCCCAAAACTCTTTTTGCGCAGCCCCCCGGGGGATTCAAAAAAAGGAAGGGCAATCTTCCCCCCGTACAACCCGGAAAAAACTGGGACCGGGCTTGCCCGAAAAAAATCCAACCCCCCAAGGGGGGGGTGGGGGGACCCCCCCCCCCCCCCCCACAGGGGTTTTAAGGGAAGGGGGGGGGGGGGCTACTT